GTTAAAATATATGTTTATTAAATAAAGTCTAATGTTACAACTAATCGGGGATCCCTTTAAAGTCTGAGAGCAAGTCCCTACCTGTATAAGAATCCCTTTGTCTTTATATTCCGCTTGGAGACCTCGAGAAAATCTTTCCACAAAGACCTACAAAAGCACAAGTTAAACAAAGAAAATGAAGAGCTGTACAGTATTTCCTGATGCGGAATCGTACCTTTGAAGCKGCGTAAAGGGTGTACAGTGGAATTGGAACACAAACTATTCCAGATGAAATGTTCACAATCAGCCCCTTTCTCCTGCAGGCCCAGAATCAAATAATCAAGGGCTGCAATTTCTGTTTGTAGCAAGAAACTCAGTGTTGAGCAGCACATTTCTGAAACATCTAATGATGCAAGTGTGGGTGGGGAACCTGTTCTCCATGCCTGGGAGGACTATTCTGCACATCTGGAGACAAAAATATATAAATAAATAATTTAGGACAGATAGAAGAATGAACAAAACATACGTACCTCAAAGATGATCCTCTACTTGCTCTAATAATTTACAACTTTATAGCTAATTATGACCCCGCACGCAAAGCGTAAGCAGGAGTCATATTGCTGTTGTACTGTTTTTTTTTCCTCTGGAGATTTTTGGTCAACCGTAGCACAAAAACAGCTGCACCGYTCAACATGAAATTTGGCAGTGCTGTAGATGAGTCTGACCTACACTGCGCCAGCCAACGGTTTTACAATAGACCCCATATTTGAGGAGGGGGCTCCTTTCAAAGAGGGGGTGTTTGGACATGCAAAAATGCTTATAACTCAGAAACTGTTCAACATAGAAGCTTCAGATTTCTTTTGTTGTTTAYCTCTGATGAAGCTCTATCCATCAGGCCCACCATCAGTACCCCCACCCCACCGGACCCCCAATTTATCTGAAAAAGGGGTATCTGGACATACAAAAATGGTTATTGCTCAAAAACRATCAAGCATAGGAGCTTCAAATTRCTTTTATTGTTTAGCTCTGATGAAGGGCTATCTATCAGGCCCACCAATCAGTGCTCCCCTATCCCGGACCCCCAATTTACCTGAAAAAGGGGTGTCTGGACATACAAAAATGCTTATAACTCAGAAACTGTTTAATATAGGAGCTTCAGATTTCTTTAGCTCTTTAGCTCTGATGAAGCTCTATCCATCAGGCCCACCAATCAGTGCCCCCCKCCCCCCGGACCCCCAATTTATCTGAAAAAGGGGTATCTGGACATACAAAAATGGTTATTGCTCAAAAACTATCAAACATAGGAGCTTCATATTTTCTTAGGTTGTTTAGCTCTGATGAGGGGCTGTCCATCAGGTCAATCAATGCCCCCCCACCCCAAACAAAAAAGACCCCTCCCAAGTCACTACGATTTTGCACCTAGTAGCATGACATTTATTAGGAATAAAGACTTCTGAGTTCTGGTGCATTTGTGCGTGCGGGGGTCATTATGTTACCACTATGCAGTATCTAGTTAATGAATACTTTTGTATTAAATACAAAGTCAAAACAAGAAGTGGCCTGATTAAACATCTGGATGTCTTTTTGTTCTGAATTGACAAAAATTTTACAGAATTTGTTTAAGAACTGAAATGACCTGGTTTTCACACATGTTCTTACCTTCATCATAGTTTTCACATTGCAGTTTATCACTTTTGTTATTACCTGGGAACAAAATAACAAGCATCAAAAATTGTTTTAACTCTGCGTAGATATTATAGAACTAGTCAGAAAAGCCAGACCAAGAAAAAAAAAAGAACAAGTTAGTGTATCCAGATCATCTTTGTCAATATGGTGGTAAACTGTTCCTTAAGCTATATAACCTTGATTTTATTTGTGAAAATTAAAGGTATGTACCAATAGTCTGTGGCATTGCCTGAAACTTGTCTCACTGAAGAAGTGTCTTGGAGGTACCACCCACAGTACATTCCCCATTTGTGGTTACTTCTTCCCTCTTTATAGCCTACCAGGAACTTTGAACTTGTATGATAGGAGGTTAAAACAATTCAGTTGGTTGTCTTATAGTGATTGACACCTCTCTTGACCAACTGGGTTCATAGACTCTCCAGAGCCCAGATACTGTATGTGGCATGCCCCTCATGTCCCACCTGTCCATGGTACACATGATTGATTGACTAGAATCGGCCAGTCAGCTCTGAGCTTCATTTTGACACCACAGCTGTGGAGCCAGTCAAGTTACCTTTRATTCAATATGCATTTTTGGAAATTAAAAAAAATTAATGGTTATAGTTTTAACCTCATTTACTAAATACTAGTTACAGTTACAAAAACTATGACTGCTGAACTTAAAAAAGTCAGATTGATAGATTTACATAGAGACTATACTGTACTGTAGGCTTGTGAATTTACTCCAAAGGGTTCAAGAGCAATACTTAATTTAATCTGAGTTAGGGTTAGGCCCACAGGGCAACAGAAGAAACCGTCACAGAGACCTACTAAACTTTTTGTTTATTTTTCTACCTGAGTTACTGAGATGCATCAAGACAGTCAGTGGCATTGTTTACACCTAAAAAACAAGCCTTTATGAGAGCTAACCCACCCAGCAGTAAATGTCAAAGTTTTGTTTTAAACCAGTTTTGTAAAACATGTGTTCACAAATTTCCACAACTGGAGCTCAAAGGTGATTTTCAGTGATTTTCTTGGTTGTCGTATTAATTTGTTCATTAAAATGTACTTTGGTGCCTGATGAAATTGGCAGCTTGAACCACATGTGTGGTGTTTGTATAAGGAATCATCTGTTTGGCTCTCTTTTTTTAAATAACATGTTACAATGTGTCACCTTCATCTCCACCTATTTTTGCTAAATCATCTATCCATAACCAATATCTTGATCAATGTAAGTTGTGCATTCACATCTGTGCTTTCTGCTGAGGTTCTCACTTGTAGGACCAAACTGAAATCATGTGAACATGACTTTTTTTTCTTACTTTAAATGTAAATTTAAAAGACTTTTTGTAAAAGCTGTTAAAACGCTACTGACCGTGTCGAGCTCTTTGGTATCAAGAAATCTACAGGGGATGAAAGTGGGCAGCGCACCGACGTTGTTGACTGGAGAGGAAAAGGAGGACGATGGTCATTTTAATGATCAATATTTGATGTTTATGTTCTAAGCATTAGTTGGGAAAAAACACGTCTGACCCAAAACTCCAACGTTGAGGTCCTGAAGCTGCTCTTCAATGTCTCCATATATGTCGTCCTTAGTAAAATCAGCCACTATCACTTTCACCTTCTGTCCTGTTTTTTCACCTGCACAGATTCAAAAAGTAACAACTTTATTTATTTACTTAGCACAAAAACTAAGTAAATATGTGTTTGGTATTATTTCTATGTTGTAAAAATACTTCTTAGGAATAAACCTGTTAAAAACCTGTTAATTTCCCTGGTGCCACATTTGTAAGGAACATGCATGTGTGGAATGAGCAGTATGTGGTTGTTTATTTTGCTGATTTTATTTACATTTATTTCCACCAAAAAAWTTTTTAATTACTTTTTGTGCTAAGTTTAGATATTACATATTACATACCTATTTCTTCAGCCAGCTGGTCCAGTTTCTCTTTGGTTCTGCTCATAATAACAACATTCAGACCTCGCTCAGCCAGCTGATCACATATAATAATGATAGAAAGGAGGGATAAATCAATAATTAGCACACATGGGTTAAATAAAACAAGTTCAGCAGCAGAAAAACGTTCTCCACAGTAGGCGTCCCAGCCTCGTCACACAAACAAACACAATCAGTGCTGTTCAAACTGTCACTTACTGCCACTGCGTACGCTCTCCCTATCCCCTCTGAAGCACCAGTCACCACTGAAACACAAAGATTAGAGTCAGACATGAAATCCATCTCCTGAAGTTTCCATTTCAAACACCGGAGGAGTCGTTTCCCTCAGCTGCAGGCTTCCTCCTGACTCCTGTCAGACAAGGCCCAGCYCTGTCTTTGTATTTATTTACACTTTAACCCTGTCTGTTCTTACACGGTGCGCTGAAACAGCATGTTCCCTTGCTCTGATAAAGACTTAGCAGACCAAAACAGCTTGTTTCAGAGCGTTCGCTTCTGAGCCACCCATCA